GTCCCAATTTGTTGGGCCATCACAGGGTGGTTGAGGTGGGACGGGACCTCCAAGGTCATCTGGTCCAACCATCAGATCACCAAGAGCTGCTTGTCCAAGACCATAACCCAACGGCTTCCGAGTATCTCCAAAGATGGAGACGCCACCACCTCTCTGAGCAACCAGTCCCAGCTCTCCCAGCTTCTCCAGTCCCTTCATCATCTTGACGCCCCTCGTTGGACTTTTTCTCCAGTATGTCCCAGTATCTCTTGGACTGGGGGGCCCACAAGTGGAGTTGGGTCTCCAGGTGTGGCCTCACCACTTGTGGTCACGTCCCTCAACCCGTTGCCAACCCTCCAAGGACACCGTTGGCCTTCGTTGTTGGCTTGCGCTCAACCCAGCGTCCACCAGAACCCCCCAGTTGAACCATTGCCCAGCATATACTGGTGCTGGGGGTTGTTGGACTTGGCCCATCCCTTCGTTGAACCTCATGAAATTCATCTCGGATCATTTCTCCAGCTGGAAAAGGTCCCTCGGGACGGTGACGTGACCTTGTGGTGCATCGGCCACCTCCCTCCTGGTTCGGTGTCACTGGCAAAGCAGCCAAGGGAACGCTCTGCCCCATCATCCAGAAGATGGATCAGACCTTGAGGTGCTGCCGAGCACCACCCAGACGTCCCCCCTTCGTTGACCGACGGCTAATTAAGCTTCGTCACGACGTACCAAGCTTTAATGGGCCATGCCGAGATGGGAAAGCCCCCCCCAAACGTCAAAATTGGATGGGATGAGGAGAAAAAAAAAGGGGGAGGAAGAGGAGAACGTACCCGTGAAGAGCTCCGTGTACAGCATGTAGACGGCTTTGCTGTCCCATGGGTTCTCGTTCTGCAGGTCGATGGAGTGCAGGACGTATTTGATGAAGATGGTGAGCACCATGGTCATGAGGATGGCGTACTGCAGGGAGGAAGACCGCGGTAGGGCGGGAGGACGTGGCTGAGGAGCCGTTTGTCCATCCTGGGAATGGACGTGGAGGTTTGTCCATCCCTACCTCGAAGCCGAAGACGAGTTGGACAGAGGCTCCGCGCGTGAGGATGCTGTGGTACGCGTGGTTAACGAAGAGGAAATCCAGGATTCCCAGGAGGAACATCAGGGCTGCGGAGGAGATAACGAGGGAAGGAGATAACGAGCC